TTGACCTATGACTACGAGACAAACGAAATAGTAAGTAAAAATTAGAGAAATTAAGCTATATAAGCTCAAAGCCAACGCGTAATGCTACCCTATGATAGCGATTTGACTTAAATAAAAAAAATCATACTCGGTTTTTCATACCGGAAATATAAGTGGAGACCTAGTCCTTGAGACAATGACTAAAAACAAGCATTTTCAAATTTTTAACTAAATGAAGAGTTAGGTGCAGAAGCACATCGATCTTAATTGCAGATTGATTGCATCAAAAAATATTTGTTATCTTTGATACATATTTTAATAGATGAAGGAGAGGAAAGGTATCCTTTCCAAGTTATATATATGACAATATTTGTCAGCGCCCTCTCGATTTCCGTTATGCGGAAAGGGTTCAAGAAGATCTAACAAAATGGTAACCATAAAAACAAAATGGTCTATTGAATTTTCGCAAACAAGTCATCATCTGAATATAAAAAGTTCGTAAACCTACGAGTAATGGGGATGTCTCCCAAGACTGCTATGTGAATAAATCTCAAACAAAGAGGCTAAAAAGAAAGTTAGTTTATATCCACATACCTCATCCTCGCTGATTATCTCCTTTTTAATCACTTTCATCGCATACACACGCTTCGTGGGGCGATGCTCCACTTGGAAGACTTTGGCGTAGCTTCCACGGCCGATCACACGCAAAAGGTCGAAGTCTTCAAGACCAACTTTCCCGCGAAATGTCCCGGCGGACACTAGTCCACTGTTAATTAGGCCCTCGCTGCCCATTTCACCACCTGATATAAATGGAGCTTCGCCCAGGTCGGACTTTAAATGGTAGACAATAGTGAGAGGCGTGATGATTGAAATTTCATGTTATGATTCATGTATGCGTATGATTCGTGTGTTTTTGGATGCGTAAGAGTTTGTTCAAAGGTGAGAGATTCATAAGTTCGTGTTAGTGTATTTTTTACTATGAAAATTTTATAACTGGCGTACGTTTTAATGTTTTTGTGTGTTACTCATCAAATGTTTGAGTACGTATGGTTCCATATATATGCAGGATGGTTCGAATGATGCATGAATGACGCGACGATACAATAACATCAGAGAGTATTTAACCAAACTGATATCGTATTGTGTGCCAATATGTATTAGTTTATTTTTATGTTATTGAGTGAGACGAGATTAATTTGTATTTTTGAACTGCCATATGCATTTGTCCTTTTGTAGAATATAAATCTTGACTAATAATAGTCATATTTTGTGCGTATGTAATGTTATGCAATGTATGCAATTTTATGAGGTAGATGAAGTAATAAAGAAAAGGAATGCGCAAATGTTAAGGTTATAATAAAATCTAAAAGATGTGATATAATATTGTTACAATACAAAGAAATAAAAATGTATAAAAGTGCATCAAGAAAAAACGTGCATATAAGTTTAAGTGTCGATTTCGATAATAACCATTGTAACTTTTAATAAAACCTTAATGCTTATATATATATATATCTCCTTTGGTCCTTAACATCCCTTTGCTTAATATCATGAAGTTTGAGTGAACAAGAAATAACCTAAATAAAGGGTCATGATTAAAAAGTTCGTCTTCCGCCACTTTAATAGACAGGACCAACTAAAGTTACCTTTAAAAGTGAAATCGGTCTCGTTGAGATTAGTAGCAAATATAAATAAGAGAAGAAAACTTTCGAGAATTTCATAAATCTGTATCCCCTAAATACGCAAACAAAAGGACTTTAAAAGAAGAATATGAAGACAAACACCAAAAATAAGTGAAAAACATGTAACAATTATGAGTAAAGAAAATGTAGGATCGTCGAACAGTTAAAAAAGTACAATAGTAAGATGTTGAATTCGATAATGGTGCCTTTTGCCGTGTGGGAGGAAACAAAAGTTTGTGATAAAATGTGTGCAGAATATTTGGTCAAATTCAAAATTGTGCAGAGCTAAAGGCATCCCGACACCAAAACAACACATTTTACAACGGATGAGAGATATATTCGATCAAGAAAGATAGCGTAGAAGAAAAAAAAGAAAGAGATTGCTGGAGAATTAAGAAGCAGTGAGTATAGATTGGAAAGTAGAATAAGATAGACAGGGCAAGGAATATTAATATGCATATGTGTCTATCCATTAGTAGGCGAATTTATGGAATCTCAGGAAAGAATATCTACGACGTACTGGGCAGTATGAACCGGCAATTAGTTGCAAAAATTGTTGGACTTAAACACTGGCCTTCAGCCAGGTCTGGATCGCAAGTAAAATTCAAGGAAGGTGTAAACTCTCCTCAAAATTACTTCAACGTTCAAGCATCAATAAGCTGGGGA